TATGCCCCAGTTTGTGCCATAGCTGAAGAAGAGCAAGTGTTAGTTTTAATACATAACATAAACTGCAAGGGCTTTAGGAACAGTCACATGCAATCAAAACCGTGATAAACACAACACAGTCAGCAGAGAGAATTGAGATGGGCCAATGTCCTTCACCCTTCCTTGATCTAAATCTGCTCATAACCTCTTGTCCTTGTCCAATGTAATGAGTTCACACAGGATTACAAAAGTAGAGGTAGATGTTCCTGGTGCTCACACCTCTAAGCTTAGCTACCCAGGAGGCTGAGATCTGAGGGTCCCAGTTCAAAGCCAACCCAGGCAGGAAAGACTGGGAGACTCTTATCTCAAAAAAAAAAAAAAACAACAACTCAGAAAACCATATGTAGCACTGTGGCTCAAGTGGAGGAGCACTAGCCTTTTGCTGAAGACCTAATGGACAGTGTGCAGGCCCAGAGTTCCAGCCCCATGACCAACAAAACATAAATAAAATATAAAGTAGAGACAGAATGTATATGAAATGGTAAAAATACCATATTAAAAGCCTGTCCCTAGATAGCCGATGTCAAAATCTACTTCTATAGTCCCACATTCATAGGTCAGTAGAATAAAAATTTGTAGAGCCTGTATGCCAATCCTGACTCTCCACATTAAATTCTCTTTGGACTTTTTACTACAAGTAGGTTAGGCAATTTTTTGCTCCCTCCTTCACTTCCCAACTTTCATTTTTCCTTGTTTGCTTGCTTCCTTGCTTGCTTGCCTGCCTCCTTGCCTGCTTGCTTGCTTCCTTCCTTTTTCTTTTTTTTTTATGATTGTGCTAGAATTTGAACTCAGAACCTGGGTATTGTTCTTTTTGCTCAAGGCTGGTCCTCTACCCCTTGAGCCACAGCATCACTTCTGATCTTTTGGTGATTAACTGAAAATAAGGGTCTCATGGACCTGCCTGGCTGGCTCTGAACCTTGAACCTCAGAGCTCAGCCTTGTAGTGAGTAGGATTATAGTCATGAACTTGGAAAGCTGCAAGTTTTAGCCATTTCTTACCTGTTCTTGATCAGCCAGTATTTGTTGTTTTCTGTTTCTTCTTCTCCTTCATATCCATAGCCAACCACCACAACGCCATGAGTCAGGTACTTGGGGCAGGTTGGATTATAATGAATACCTAAAAAAGAAAACCAAACCACATAGGATGCTCCAGGAACCTGACAGCACCCCACTCTGAGGAACAATAAGGAAAGTATTTCTACATTCACCAAAATTATGTAAAGTCCATGTAAGCCATCAGAATTACATGATCAAAGCTAGGAATTAGGCTGAAAACTGACAGAAATACATATTAGCACATATGCCTTGGTAAAAAGGTTTGTCTAATAGTAGAGGAGACCAGTGTGTGAAATCTGGGCATTTTCTTTCAAGGACACTGCATAAAATTCAAAGTTCCTTGAACAAAGGAAGGTTTTCCAGGTGCAGTGGTTCCTATCCATAATACCAGAAGGAAGCTGAGATCACAGACTTGCAGCTCCAAGCCAACCTGGGCAGGAAATTCCATGAGACTCATCTTTAATTAACCAGCACAAAACTCAATGAAGAAAAGGGTCTCAAATGGGACACTATCAGCTTTGAGTGAAAAAAGCCAGGCTAAAGCACAGGGCCTATGTTCAACTTCCAGCATTGATAGAAATCAATGAATATGTGAACAAAAAAATATATAAATTATTGAAATCTTGGGCCATTTAAAAATATTCCATAATAGAATAAAATTTCAATTGTACTACCTATACTTCATGATACTACTACTTTGACAAATTTAAATAGGGATATGGAGACAGGCTTGAAATAATATCTAATGGAGGACTGGGAAGGTGGCTCAGTGGTAGAGCGCTTGACTTGCATGCATGAGGCCCTGGGTTCGATTCCTCAGCACCACATAAGCAACAAGAAAAAAACCAGTAGTGGCACTGTGGCTCAAGTGGTAGAGCGCTAGCCTTGAGCTGAAGAGCTGAGGGACAGTGCCCAGACCCAGAGTTCAGGCCCCATGACCGTACCCCACACAAAATAATAATAATAATAATAATAATAATAATAATAATAATATCCAATGGGAAAATAAAATCCAAAAGAATTGAATGTACATATTGAAAAACCAGGTGCCATTCCTACACCAAAATATCTAAGTTCCCTGACGCTTGCATACCA